TACTAGTTGTGAGGTAGTTTACAACTAGTACGTTTGACTACAGGGTAGGTACTAAGTAGGTACAATGTATAATTGTAAAAAACAAACACAGCTAATATATATGTATGTGCAAATACACATAGTGCCGTTAAAATAAAAGCATCTCAAAATTTTAACTAATTTTGGCAATTTTTCTTTTGTTTATTTGATGGTTATTAATTTTGTAAAAAAAGTCTAGCTCCATTATTTATCAAACACCATATATGTAAATCACATATCACAAAAGTTCCCAGTTTGGGTAGCCAATTAAATTTTATATAAAAAAGTAAAAGTTTTCAGTTGTTAAAAAAGCACGTTCATTTTTTTTTTTAGCTGACGGTGTTAAACATTTGGTTCCATACAAAGTATTTATGTACTAATGTTAAATTTTTTTTTGTATGTGGAGGAAAATGCATTACACCGCCAGCAAAAGAACTACAAAAAACACAGACCTGCTATGTTTTCTTCCTTAAAAAACTAATAAGCAATTCGGGTAGGTAACTTCGAAAAAAATTAGCTAAAAAACTTCCGATAAAAGTACTTTTTAATTTTTCTTAGTGTTACCGTGTTCTGCGTTAACTTCACGGTTCCAAAAGTATTTCTGATTTTTTAGTCCTTAGGGGTATTTTAAACTAAAACTGTTGTTTTTAAAGTAAAAATTATATTTTAAATAATCTTATTGTTGTTTTTCTTATAAAAATTGTTAGAACTTATTTATTTTTCTTAGTTAAGCGCGTATTACTGCGTTAAATTGGTATTCTGATTCACTTTGTCTTCCTAGGTATATTTTTAAGTTATGCTGCTTGTTTTCTCAGTAAAAATTAAATTTTAGGTTGACCGATGTTTGGCTTTTCATGAAAATTGTTAAAAATTTTAAAATATTCTTGTCAAAAAAAAAATATCGATGTGTTAGAAAGAACAAGGCTGCATTATAATTGGATATGCCTAGATAAAATAGTCAAAACTAGTCAAAATGTTGAGATGATACTTTTTACTGGCACTAGATGTAGGGACACGATATCGAACCGAAAGTACCGATATAGTACTCAATTGAAATATCGCTGTAAGAATATCGTGATAAAAATACTCGTTATTCCAAATATCGATACCAAAATCGAAAATTAAATCTGAATATTGGTCTAATTTTCTAACAAATATTGAACACTTTTGCAATTTAATAACTGTTTGCTTATGTAGAGGTAAGTGTGTTAATTGACATCACCGAAGGCGCGGGGCCAACCTCCATCAATTCTTCGAAGGTAATCTGTAAACTGTACATATATAAATACATATCGTCGATGTTTTTACAAAACCGCCCATCGCCCGATTGCAAAACCACCTACCTTACGGCACTCAAATTTTACAGGAGAGCGAAAAGCGGTTTATTATTTGAAGGCATTGCCTTGATAGGCGGTATTTTCTCTAGCTATTATTTTACAAATCTGTACATTGAATTTAACGATTTGTATGCTTAAATCTCGATGCCTGGAGTTCAGGATTGCCAAATCTCATTTTTGCCACAACGGCGATTTAGGTGGTTTTGCAAGTGGTCGATGGGCGGTTTTGCAAAAACATCGACGATATCTCTATACACACATATTAGAATCTTAATAAAGGTTGAATTATATTCAATACCACGTTCTCGATTCCATTTTCTTTCTATTTTAAAATCGGTGTGAATGTGCAACATACTCTTGCTGCGATGTTTAACAGTCAAAAATATATCCATATTTCTTTATACATAAGTTCCAGAGTAGATATAGACATATAGGAAAAGGTCATAGTATAACATAGATTAAAGAATGGGACTGTGCATTTATGATACGATATGATACCAGAGTTCTGGTACTCGATTCAAAAAAATATCGCTTCAAAACTATCGAGTAAATAGTATAGGTATCGAATGGCAAAAATATTGATATGGTATCGTATCCTATCGAAATTCGTGTCCCTAACTAGATGTACTTAAAGCTGTATCGACATTTACCCATCACAATATTATAACGTTGTTTACCTAGGTTGTCCAAAATAAATCAGGAGGAGTTGAAGATGATCAATTAAAAGAACTGTTGAAAGAGATGAGCATGGAAAGCGCTTTTGATGCCCTTTATGGTAATTTTTTGTTTTATAATGCAAACGCCTTATAACGCGTAATGTTTTTACTGACCCATGAAAAGCTTGTGGATTCACATATGACCGCTTAAAATACATAAACTCTGACGACTTGGCGTTGATATTTCCAGGGCAAGAAAATATCGGTTATAGAGCAGAACTTGGAGAAAAACTCCGTCTGTGGAAGCACCAGAACGTAATATAAATAAATACTTCCTTATGAAGTTGTAACATATTTTTTAACGATTTATTTTTCAGTTTCCATATCAATGTCTATCTTCTCTGAGTATGAACTCAACTGTTCAAAATTGGATTGAAAACCAACCTCTTAACTCATCAGCTAGCAGTTCTACTTCGGTTAGCAATTCAACTTTTTACTGAGCTCTCAATACTGGCTAACAGTGGCTACACACGACGAACATATCCGCGCACATGCGCGGCTTGCGGGTCATATTCGTCGTTTGTAGGGCGGTTTGCGAGCATGCTCGCCAAAAATCAAAAAATTTTGATTTCCAGCGAGCATGCTCGTCGTTTGTAGCGTGGTTTGCGAGCATCGCATTGGAAACAAAAACAACAACCTCATTTTGTGTTGATGCTTGAATTGTGCACATCGGCGGATAAATGCATCCAAGCCATGTTATTTAATTGAATTTTTGATAAATGAGGCTAAATTACTATAAGTATATGTATGTACGTACATACAAGTAAAGTATAAATAAATTTAAGTATCACATACATAAAAAAGTTAAGTTAAAAGCATTGCAATTGCATCATCCGCGTCTTTCCTTTCTATGTTTACGCTTTGAGTACAAAATTACTTATGAAAATCACTCTCAATAGTGGCTAAACAGTTTAAAGATGCTCATGGCTTGGCACACAGTAGTGACCTTCAATGTAATATTTTCAGCTATTCAAACTATTTTCGATCTTTCTTAGGGCCAAATTCACAGTACATAGTTAACTCAGAATCGGCAGTTAACTACAGACTTTCAGTATGTACTGTTAAAGGCATACCCAAAACGATTTGAAACATTTCACCGAAAGTGAACTAATACCACCACAATCTGAAATAGTTCAGCTTGATGAACGCTTTATAAATGATGGTACTGAAACAATTACTCAAATAGCAAACTCAAATAAACATTGTAGCTAAACGGACAAAACTAAAAAAAAATAAGACTAATGTGGTTATGAAAAAAATTTCAATCGTTTTTGCCATCATTTTTGTATTAGACTTTTCTCTGTATACATACATATGTACATATGTATATATGTATGTATTTGAATAAAACCCCAGTGGGAAAAGGTAATGTTTGGGAATGCTTAAAGAAATACATATATAACCCCACAGATTTTACTTTAATTTGATTAATTAATTTAATTCTGATTTGCAGTTGCCAGCAGTGTAAACTTTGAGAGATAAATATATGCGGCACGGCACGCAGATCTTTTTCAGATGTATCTTTTCATAGAAAAGACATAAAAAAGAGAAACCGTATAGGGTTGGTCGAATGAAGGGCTGTCCTATAAAGGACCCTTTTATCTTCCAAAAAAAGGAGTAACAGTTATTCGTCGCCACCCTGTACTACGTGTTGGTCATACTCATTTAAGCAAAGACTTGTAAACAAAAAATGTTCATTATAAGGTGATTTCAGGTATCGAACCTATCGAGTGATGGTGCGCGTCTCTAACCACTCGACCACGGCGGATTGATCTGCATTGCATAAATAGTGGAATTTAGGTAAGTAAAAAGCAATTAATGACGTTTTCAGGTATATAAGTATGAAGTGACCAATAATAAAAAATATTTTTTAATATAGCGCAAAGGGAAGGAGGGGAAGCATATGAAATGTGGCTTATCGTTTTGTTTTTTTTGATAATGCCTGCGGAAGAGGTGCATACAAACTTATATAGGAAAATCAACAAAGTTAAAAGGATATAAAAGCAACCGCGTAAAGAATCATAAATTATCAAAAGTTTACCTGCTAATATATATACATACATACATACTTATGTATCTACGTAATAACTCGTATCTTGAGCTACAAACAATTACGGTAGCGCTCCTAAGCATTTATTGTCAGCTGTAAATAGTAAATAGTAAATACCACATAGTATGAAGCGAACGGTAAATAACAAATACACAAAAAGATAATAGGGGAATTCGCTCTTCTGTCTATTCGTTGTATGTTGTGTAATTGTAACTGCATGAGGGTGTGATTTGTTGTTGCTAGCGGTACATCAAATACACATGCAACAACAACCACACTCTCCTCCACTTACATTTACGCAGGATACAGCGAACACACAGAAGCGCGAATTTCGCAAATGTTAGAAAAAGTGATGTACATTACGGTTATAACTTTTTTAGATTTAAAAGCTTGCAATGGCATTCCAAAAAGGTTAAATATTATGAAAAAGTCTCACACAAAATCTATTGCAAGCAATTCAAATTGATAACTGTACGAACAAAATCTATTTGAACTAAAATTTTTAAACAATCATCCTCTGCATTAGTCGTTTGTATGCTATGAAACGGCACTGCTCACCAAATTTTTTCTAAACAAACTACTTGCCGTAGAGAAGAACTAATTAATTACCCTCTTGAATTTTCAACAGTTTATTATGTGATTTACATTTTTTCCAAATATGCTTTTCACTAAAAGGTTCAGTGTTAACTTTCTTCCTCACCTGTCACGAGAAATCAGTTTTGTGGTATTTTACTTATGTTACATATTCAACTAATTTTAATTTTTAGATAGGCGGCAACCCTGTCCAGAAATACTTACGGGTTAAACTTTCTTCAAATCCGTTTTGCGTTATAACCTAAACCCGTAAATAAATACTACTTGCATATTAAACTGCGAATCATATTCTTCACTCAGGACCGTTTTCTCGACTGCCTGTTCAATTTATCTTCCCGGTAAACACGTATACTGCTTTATCGGTCATATGCATATGACAGGCAGTCAAGATGTGGATTAAAGTTTTGTTTTAAAAATATCTCATTAACCCTTAAAAGCCTGTTGTTTTTTGAGATGAAAAACTAATGTTATCAAAATCAGGTGAATTAGGTAGAAAATACCTGTTTTGTTCCTCTCGGAACTCCTAGATACCCGGACATCAAAATTAAGAACTAAAATCATTTTGTACCAAAAATAAAAGTTTATATCGTTACTTTAACTCACAAAGGCCCTAACCAACACTTTTTTCGAAACTGCTTTTATCACAGATTTTGGTAGGATGTATTGAAATACACCTTCTATAAAAGTTTTGAAGTCTTAGTACCAAAAACAACGAAGGTATATGAAACTTTTTAAAAAGCCCTCTCTGTGTTTGATACCTATTAATAATATAATAAAAACAAATTCATGTAATACTTTTTTCGGCTCTGTTTGATTAGTCACTGCGTGATGCCTTTTGTAGAAAACCATCATAGTCATATCACACGTGTGGTGGTCCACTTCCGTGATTTTATACGATATGACAAAGACCGAGTGACGAATCCAAAGGGTCAACACCGGCTTATTATTTATTGTATTCAAGAATAATAGGCGTATTCTTGTTTTTGTACGAATCGAAAATTTGAAATTTTGTACAGAAAATGATAGGAAAATTTCGTGATTTCCGATTCGTACGAAAATAAGAATATGCTCCAATATTTGGACATTGAATGCTTCCCATAATTTTTTTCTTTTTATAATATCGCTCAACTTTTGGTGCGTTCTCGAGCGTTTGACAATCGCTCGATAGATATAAGTTCACTCCATACATTGTTGAATCTTATTATTATTTCATTGCACTGTTGTGACATCGATTCAATGGCACGTTCAATCATACCCTTCGTAATTGTCTCGGTTGGCAAATTTCTGCCGTAATTTGCATAGCGAACGTAGTGGGCAGCGAATAGATCCGTTGTGTTCGCAAACGCGCTCAAATTTGATTAACTTTACTCACGAATATCCACAGAAGAAGCAAGTTATCATCCCACGGGTGCGGTTTTTCTGACATACATATACTTCAGATAGTATTTGAATTTGGTCGCATATATTATTTGCTCGTCAACAAAAAATCTTCCTCATTTTGGTACTTTTTGAAAATTTCTGTTCAATGCGGAGATGATCGGACGTGTCTTGTACAGTCGATCGTAGCCTGGATCGTTTTGTGGTATCGGTCCATGCATTCCAACTGCTTCTGTCACAGGAGTACATGTGCGACTGCGTGCATTTTCGGATGATGTCGGCGGCTGCTGATGATCGGATGGTGTCGAATGATCCGTTGACGACTTCTAGATTTTTTTCAGGGACGGTAATCATTATGAGTAAAATAATTTAAATCAGCATTTAACCCTTATTTTATGATTTATACTTTTTCGATCAAAAATAGTAATTATTATTAATTTTTATTTTTTCGCTCAACGGAAGTGATTATTTGACTATTATTTTTTTGATCAGAGATAATACTTATTATTGGGTTTTATTTTTCCACTTAAAAATAATAATTATTTATAAAATTGAAAAGGCTATACAGACGCAAATTACTGAAATTTTGACCTGAAAATTTTGGGACTAATTTCTTTTATTAGGGTGTCGCTACCTCTGAAAAGGATACAGCGGAATTCACGTGGTATAGCTTTTGGGTTGTTTGGATGATCATTATTCTTAAGTAAAACAAATAAAACTCAATAATAATTATTATCCTTGAGCAAAAAAATAAAAATCAAGTAATAATAATTACCTTTGAGCAAAAAATTAAAACTCGAATATTTATTATTTTTGATAATTATTGGTTAAACTCGAAAAATAAAAATCATTGTAAATTACAGTGGGACGTACGAACACCATGGCGTGAATATAGGTAAAATTGTTTTATGACGATTACAACTTGTTGATTTTATTGGTTAAAACTTAAAAATAATGATTATTTTCCATCCCTGAGTTTTTGTGCCGTGCGAATGCTTTGTTTTTTACAAGCTTTTTGCAATTGTCTTGAAAAAATTATCAAAATCAACTTGACCACCAATTTTAGGGATAATTAAGAGCACTAAGTTAAGCCTATTGTCAAAATGAAAGCAAAACGTTTTAAATTACGGATTTTTTAAATTTGAATGTGTACGATGGTCACGTTGATGGAAATGTATATTGTTATGTGCTTCCTATTTCTTTAAACCCGATTGTTTTCCGAAATAAGAACAAAATCTTTGATGCTTTCAAGTAGAAGAGATATGCATAAGTTATCTGAGAAAAAGTGAAGGCGGTTGTAAATGCCCCTAGGCGAGAGAGATGTCCTTTTAAGTCTCCGAGAAATTACGGCGTTTTATTCCATCGTCCGCACTAAAAATCAAAAAGGGCAAAAAAGTCATAACCCTAATCTGCATATGTGTGCATATTTATACTCAGATAAAAATAAGATTTATTCAATTGTATTTGTTTATCGTTTTAACTAGTAGCGCGTATACATTCATATATGTATGTATGTACTTTATTCGTATTAAATAATATGTAG